ACATACGATTTATATTTGATAATTTATTGTGTACACATTTATTTATGCTAATCTTGTTTCGATTAATGTTTTTATTTTTATTTACTTGGATTATTTTATTTCTGACATCTTCAGCTAAGAAACGAAGAAATCTCTCAGAAGTTTGCGACCTCTCTCTGAAAAGTAGCAACAATCCCGTGACAAAGCTCCTCCTTCTTAGGGGAAAGCGAAAACTGATGAAAGGAGTTGAAAATTTGTAACGAAGATATTAAAAAAACCTAGAAGTCATCAAACAAAAAACGTCTGGCAAAGTCCCAGGCGTGTTGGTAATAATCACTCCCGGTCTCTAGTGAAATGAAATTTATGGATTCATTCACGGTAGAACTTTTTCTACCAGTTACCAGTGTTTTAAGCCATCTTATGGGATCACTTAATTACTACTGGTATTCTCAACGGAATGGTTGCTACACTGGGGGATTTTTACTCGTTAACTCCCAAACATGTCCGTTGCTCTTCATATTGGAAAGACGTGGGAATCGTAAAGAAAACTCAATTTCTCGGTATTAGTTTCGAACAAATTCTACATCTACTGGTCAGAAGGATTTCGTTTGGAGCTTGTGAGCATAACTTGCGGTAGTACATCCGTGGGAATAGCTCCCTGTCATTGGGGATTAACCGAGTTTGTCATCGCAGAGCCAGGTCATCATCTATGAGCATTTGTCACAAGCGATGGGATAGCGATGTTATTCCATTGTACTAATGAGGTGGATACTCATCATCAATATCGGATTAATTTCGTGTATTCGATTATTGCCCCCGATAGGGATGGATAGGGATGGATTCCCCAATTAGCTCGTCTAGCCGACGATGATTCCCTGTGGTACCCAAGCGTATTAAGAGCTTCTTCGCAGTGTGAGTGTAATGTGGGGACTTGAGGTTTAATACTCAAGAAGGTGAAAAACAGGAAGCTCCAGGAAGATTACTTGAAGGAGACCTATTTTTAGAACATTTTCAGGAACGGAACTTACTCATGATCCCAGAAATATGTCCTCGTTGCTTCAGCACGTAGCGGTGGATGGAAGCACTTCACTGTCGATCCATCCACTGATTTCTTAGCTGAAAGGTCCAATTACTGGTCACCTCCAGATTTTTTAACACAACGGTTGATAACGGCTGGTTAATCAACAAGCGATTACAGTCCTGAGAACTTGGCTATGTACTGAATGCTCGAGGTGGTATAGTAGCAAGTGGAACACTATCACACACCCACATAGTCACCGGCCGAATCCTCGGTCCATATCCGCCTAGGCAAGCCAAGCCTTTCATCCCTCTGGGGCCGGATAATCGGTACCTGACTTGTCTGGGAGGATAGAAACACCGAGTTGTACATCGATAGGTTGCAGACCTGGTTGGCCTGATAGAATATCCATCCAGGATTCGATCCTCCATCCATGCGTGTGATAGCGCGCCACTTGCCACAACACCATCTCCGCCCCCTCTAAACTTTAGTAACATGAATAAATTTTAACCGAATATTGCAGAGAAGGGAACAGAATCCTCTTTATTTTAATATGACGAACTCTCTTCTGACGATATTAGGCTTGTGGCAAATTGCCAAGAGCAGAGCTTTTATCAGCATTCTAATTTTATTGGATTTGGCCGTGCCTTCTGAAGAGTGACCGAATTTCTGTAAAGAAAAGCTTGGTAAATCAAATATGTGTTCCATCATTACCACCACATGACCACATGTGGATCGAATTAAAGATTGTACTGCGATGAATGATTTTCTCATAACAATGTTGAGCTGTCTTGAATTGACAGGCGGTGCCGTTAGATCACTCCCTGGGGAACGATCGTATCGGATGGCTATCGCGTCGCAATTCATGCTCGATCTACTGCGGCAACAATATTTGGGTCCAGGGCCTGCTTTGATTGTGCCGACTAATTTTGACAGGGATTTCATTTGGGGACACAACATAGAACCATTTGAGAGAACTATCTGCAGAGTTCGCTATGGATTTCCCTCATCCAGGTTCAATGACTGACCAGGCTTGATAGCCAGATGCCAGAAGATTCGGTAAGAAGACAGTTTGGGAAGAACTGACCCCATGAAAAGAGCCCTACACAATATATGGCATTTTTCGGAGGTCAACTCTTTCCAACGTTGACGCAACATGAGTATCTACCAGCTACCTCACGAAAGATAGGATGGCCCGTGCGACTACCCATCCGTTTGAGGGTAGTTAGGATGCAAACCTACGATTATTTGCTTACAAATACTTGAACTCTTTAGAAAAAACCCACTTTCATGGACACTTCCTGGAGTCATTCTCAGCTGACAGATATTTTTAAATTTCCAACTAAATATTTCATCACTCCTCAGTGTAGCAGAGGCATCGTCCGTAAGTTTGGACCCTTTGATTCATTCATTTGCATTCATTTCCTCAGAGTCAACCTCATCTAATTTATTGAATGAGTGCTGACTTTCTAATTCATTATCTTGGAAGCTTTGCCTTATTATTGACTCGACACTTCCTACTCATGACAATTCCGTGTAGAACTATTTACAATGGTCCAAGAGTGAACTACAGTCTACCTTTTCTGTTATATGTACAGTAGCGCACAAAAGTCTTCGGTGAAATTCTTTGACGCTTTTTCGTTCATAACTTTTTTCTTAGCAGACCGAATAGCGCGAAATTTGGATATGTTTAACTAGAGCACATTTCACCCTACCCAACACTATTTGACTGCAAAGCTGCAAT